TTAGGGAGTCGATTCCCCGACTTCACCCTATATCACAGTGGCCCACGTGGCTCATCTGGTAGACACGGTGTGACTCTTGCCCTTTCGGAACAAGCAAACCGTGCACTACTGGCATGGGAACCAGTCAATGACTGGGTAGCTTACGTTTGACTAAAGGGTTACTTTACGAACATCTCCGTCGTATCTGTGTATGCACCAACATCAGCTGCCGAACCGCAAGTTAAGGATCTGTCCATTGTCGCCGGGGACTGGAATGGCCGGAATGGGCCCGCTGACTCGGCAAACAGTCACCTTATTGATTGTTTTAAGCTTGGTTCTCGATCTGAAAAGGGTGAGAGGACGTTGCATTTTCCTGATCAGAACTGATTGTTTGTCAGCAACACATGTTTTTAGCACTGTCATAAAGATCTACTGACCTGGTATTCAAACGACGGCCTTACCGTCAGTCAGGCCGATTACATTCTAGTTGGTTCAAGGTTTCGCAGTTGGGTCCACGATAGCAGATCGATGCGAGGCGCCGAAACTGGTAACGTTCATGGGTCAGACTATGTTCTCGTTCGCACAGGCCTGAAAGTTTACCTCTCATCTGCGCCTAAAATGACATGTGCGAAATGTATTGATGTTACAAAACTTCGGTAACTTAGGACTACCGAGGCCCCCTTAGCACAGAAATTCGGTCGCGTCTTACGACCCAAGCGGACGGCGAAGGCAGTAGCAAGTGGTCATCACTGAAGACATCCGTCTATGGGGTAGCATAAAATTCCTGGATTCACTCAGCAGCGCCGCAATGGCTGGATCAGCGGAAGACCCCTGCAACTGTCTGTCCAGACGGCTCGAGCCAGATTCCACAACGATTCTTCACTGCTCTAACTCGGACAGCTGACAGGAAAGTCGACTAGGGATGACCGGCAGGAGTATTGGTGCGAAACAGCGACTTTTATGGAGCAGACCTCAAATGTTGGAGACACTCGAAAACCCTATTAAACTATTCGCCAAGTTAGTGGTCAGTCCTCGACACTCTGTGACTCTGTTCGCGAAGTGAATGGCGGCTTTACTGCTAACAGTTTGGCCAAGGTCGATCGCTGGCGTGATCACTTCAAGCACCTCTACAACTCCGATGAGCAACCCATCACACCCTTCCTCTCTTCCGTAGACGACTTTCAATTCTCTCCAGCCTATGCAGTGTCGTGCGAGGAAGACGACGTTGTCGATGCAATGCAGAGGCTATGTAGTTACAAGGCGTCCGGAGAGGACGGTATTCCCGCTGAAATCTACAAGTCTTGTGTCGAAACTCTGGCTCCTTGATTCCATGAGGTGATTGGACAAGCGTGGAGAGACGAGGCTATTTCTGATTACTGGGCCTCGGACATCTTTTTACCTGTATACAAGAAGGAAGATAATACAAGATGTGAAAACTGCCGCTGTATAAGTCTTATCGACGTTGCTGCGAAGATCTTCGCAGTTGTTCTTCTCAGACGATTTTAGTCTATGCGTAGCTCTAGGACGCGGCCCATCTAAGTCGGATTCAGCGCTGGACGTGGACCTGTGGACCAGCTATCCACACTGAGAAGAATCCTTGAATTCCGCCATAGCTAACAACAACCAAAAGCTGTCTGCTTTATTGACTTTGCTGCTGCGTTTGATTCCGTTTGTCGTGAATCCCCATGACGGATAGTAGCACTAGATGGTGTACCATCAAAATCATTGGCATAATCAAGGCATACTACCGTTCCACCCCTGCGCGGGTTCTGGTTCAATAATATCCTTTCAGAACCGTTCACTATTCGGTCTGGCATTCGACAAGGCTGTGTTCTGCCACCCATTCTATTCAACTACGTCATTGACTGGATTCTTGAGAAGGCTCTAAACGAAGGGATTGGTGTTGAGCTTGCACCTGGACGCCGGCTGACTGATCACGACTACGAAGATGATATCGCTTTATTAGCATCAAACTTGCACGATTTACAGTTTGTAGTGTCACGGGTGAATGAGATCGCTGCGTCGGTTGGCTTGTCCATAAATATAGGGGAGATGACATTATTTTCGAGCACCATCCCCGATCAGAAGAAGGCACCCCTGGGAATTAATGCCAGTCAACTTGAAGAAGTAGGCAGCTTTAAATACCACGGGGTGAGGCAGCTACCGAATAGACAAAGTATGAACG